AGTCTATTGGAGGAGTACAGATAGATCACAATCAACAACGGTGAAATCATCCGGCCCGATCAAACGGAGGGAGCAATCAATCCACTAAATTTTGGATCCAAAGTATTCCGAAAATTCGTCCCAGCCAACCGCGGACTTTCGAAAACTTTGGAGGGGGTTCTGTAGGCTGTCTAAAAATCACAATAGATAGCTTATCCAAATAAGCTCCGACAATGGAGGTCACAATCAGACGACTTCCCAATCACTGCATCCGCAACTCCACAATCGCCACAAACACGACCTCACTTCTGAGATGATTGATCTTGATGGCTGCGACAACAGCACTAATATTATATTAACAACTATTAGAGATGCTGATGAGTAGTGGGATGATTTCAGAAATAAAAGGCTGGACTTAGTTGGTGAGTTGCTTGGTAGAGAGCTGTGGGCAAATATTCGTCTTCAAGACACTATGGATGTTGATTCCCGTCAAACTCTCACAACGAAAGCTATAATCAAATAGCTTTCGCGCCGACAACCGAAACATACAATCAGATAGTTGTTTGGTAGAGAGCTGTGGGCAAATATTCATCTTCAAAACACTATGGATGTTGATTCCCGTCTAGCTCCTACAACGAAAGCTACCATCAAATAGCTTTCGGGTCGGTGAACGAAAGTTGCGAATGGAGGGCTTTTCACATAGATCGAGAGGAGTTACAATTCAACGACACTTCCGACAACGGATGAAAACTATATTCTGCAGTCTTCACAATCTATAGTGAAAGTTACAATCTGACGACTTTCACACTCCACAACAGCTAAAGCCAAGATTACTGAACAACGGTCCTCGCAACGCTTCACAGAAGAAGCTACAAGTCAAAAAGCTCCTTCTGAAACGCGGATGTCATCCCCGCGTCACCAATTTGGAAAGTTCAATCAACGCTGACCCCCGCGTCGCCAAGCCACAATCCAAACACGAGCGACCTTCGCGTTCGTAGGGGTCCAACCAACAATGACCCCCGCGTTTACAAGCAGGCAACAAGCCAAAACGCGAGCGACCCTCGCGTTCAATGGTGTTCAGCTAACACCCAACCTCGCGTCTCAATCCTAAGAAGCGAAGTTGGGTTCTGAACGCCAGAATGGGCGTTTGACTCGTTCAAACATGAGTTGAACGGCTCCAAAACCGTTTACCCCACGTTCTGAGGGGTTTTCACCCACGTAGGAGAGGATATAGGGGTCAGTTACAACCTCTTATCCCCCTATAAAAGCTCAACAAACTCAACTGAGTTAAGGGGCTGGCGGCTGGCTCTTTGAAAAGAGAAGATTTAGCAAGGATAAAAACCACTCGGGTTTGGAGATTTGGTAGCAGCGAAATCCTTAAAGATAGGATTTTTGAATCAATCTCAAAGGATCAAATCTGAGGGGATTCGTCAGCAACAGAATGACAGCTTGATCATTAACCGAATTTTCGGTTCCAACAACTCTACTCACAGAGTTCAAACTCGTTCAGAGTTCTTAAACTCATTCAGAGTTATCTATTAAACTTTCCACAAAAGTTTATTGTTCCCACGAGATAGAAGACGGTCGGATCGTCAACGGAGAGCAAATTCAACGCGAGCAATTGAAGGAGGCATTCCATCGCTACCGAGAAGAACCCAGTTTTAAACAAAGGGGAAAACCAAATTCGTTTTCCTCTCTTTTGTAATCAAGTTGTAACCGAGATCAAGTGGTCATCATACAAAACTGTTTCTCGTCATCTTTACATAAAGCCCACCTATCAACATTGTTCGAACCCAAACTAGTCTTGATCCAATCATGTACAACTCATGAAATGGACTTAGTCCTCTCCCGTAGTTGCTCAAACTAATTTTTTCGTTACACATCCAGCTTGCCAAAGAAGATCTTGCAGCTGCACTTGTCCATGCTTCCTCTTGAAGTTATCTCTAATATGTCGCAACAATATCAATGTTGCTGTGACGATGAAAAATATTGTTGGAGTGCTATTGGAATTCCTTTCATCCTATTATATATGAATATAATCGACCGTGTTCACACACTAGAGATATGATATCTAATGCAAGCAAAAAAAACAATGCCCAATTTTTTGTGTTTTTAGCATCAACCACTGCAAAGGCCAAAAGAAATAAACTGCCATCTGCATCTATTCCGATTGCAACAAGCAAAACATCTTTATATTTACTATACAAGTGGGTGTCTTCAATGCTAAGAAGAGGACGATAATATCTGAATCCCTCAATGTAAGGCCAAATGCCTAAAATACCCCTATAAATCATCTATCTCCGCCATCAACAAGGTCTAATGATACTTCATACACTGTCCCCGGATTTTTTTTGAGTGCTTCAAGATAATGTGGTAAGATCTCGTAAGATTTATCTTAATCTCTGAATATTTTTATCATCGCCTTCCTCCAAGCATTCCAACACTTGTTGTATGATACATCTAAGTTGATCGCTTTATGCACAAAAATACGAATATCCTTTGGTCTTAGATCATGATCCTCCCTTAGTTTAGGCATAACCAATTGATATATGAAAGAGGCGGACGCTTGTTTATGATTCATCTCTAATCGAGGATTGCTACATGTGTAAAGTCCGTTGTAGTGTGTTTTTTTTTTAAATTGCCCACCTACTCTTACCCCCAAGCATGAATTAAGTTTCTAAGGATATTTTGCATTACCGTTGTGGTGCCCATTACTATCTTCTTCCTCACCATCTTTGTAATAAAAACAAACTACATTATAGCTTATTACATTGCTTTTTGTCTGCCTAAACTTAACATTTTTTGGATAGCCCACAAACGAAGTGCATGAATCAATTTCTCTTTGCTTTCAAATAAGTTACCCTTTCTGAATGAGAAGTCCTCGCCTTGTGTATTATCATCTAAATTAGTGCCGATAGGAATACTTTCTGTCGTGGAGTTATCAATCCATTCTTCTCCATGAAATTCATCGAGCGACAGATCCTCTAACACGGCATACTCATTGTTAGAGTAACATCGGTCAATATATTGGTTGTCCTCTTCATCACTATCTATCAAACACATTATGCTATTGATTTGTAAGCCATCCTCTTCGTCATCATCCTCAGATTTGACACTTGCATTATCATCATCTATCGTCACTCATGTGGAAGACATTATATATTGATAGGGAGTGCAGTCATCGAAGGCATTTGAAGTGCCCACAAGCGAAGGTCCGCTCAAGTATTATGATTGTGTCCATCCTATATCTTATTGCAGAGATAAAAAAAACCGGTAGAGTCAACTTCAAGGTCCTCCAACATGCGATAGTATACTCCATCGTGATTCACCGATTTGCCAAATTTCTATGATGCTTTTTAATAAATAATTCCACCGAACATTTTTTGTCATGCAATATTCCAATAAGACCCATATTGTAGTCACTTGAGATTTGAATGTCGCTTGTTCTGTTCCCTATAACAGTTAAATTGCAAATAATATTGAGGTGATACTCACGTGGATTAGTTAATGTAAGTTTGTGTAAGTCATTAACCAATTCATCGAAAGTACATGATTTTGATATTAACAACGGCTTCGTCACACCTCCTTCATATACGGGCATATTATTCTCGAGATAGTTAATATTTCTATCATATGAATAAAGAATTAGGATTCAATCGTTCATCATTACCTCTGAAAAGTAAAAAAATTCCAATATCAATATTACACAAAAAATACAAAAAAATACTATTTACCATTAAATCCTCTAACATTCAAATGTCAAACCTTTATAATTCACTAACTTTTACAATTTTTGATAATTTTTCCTTTAACTTCATACACAAATTTCTTTAATTTTTCTTCACAAAATTCATAAATATTTCAAAAATTATTTCAAAATCTAAATTTAAATAAGTTATTAGCATGAAATAGTGAGAATATGTAAAAATTTAGGAGAAAAAATAAAAAATATTAAAGATTTTATCTAAAATTTTTTAATGCCCTAATTTCTAATTTCCGGTGAACTCCGGTGGTGACGGCGGTGACGACGGCGACGGGATCGACATTATAATATGCTTTAGTAGAATTAGAAGTACACGTATCTATACATAAAGTAGAATTAGAAGTACACGTATCTATACATAAAGTATATAAACTAACCCCAGAATGGTAAAAATATCCAGATCGACATCAATAATTTTATTTTCACATCCGGTTAAATTAGGTCCAATTTTTCTCTGATCTCCTCACATCTTTCTCATCTCCTTTTAATTAAGACAACCAAATCCAAGATATATCCACTTTTTTCTCAAAAGATCTAACACCAACCCAACTATCACAAACCCTCAACCTTTTCCCACCAACAAGAAGACAAGAATCCGATCCCCTCGCTTGTCCTTATCCCACGAACCCAGCCTCAAAACCCTCGCTCCCCTAAAACCCTAGAACTTCAGCGCCACGTCACCCCCACTGCCATTGCTGTCCACTGCAACAACAAGAGCCTTGTCTTCAACCTTCACTTCTTCCATGACCTCCTCGTCATTGTCATCCTCGTCGTCTTCTTCTTCAACCTCTCGCTCTTCTCCGCCGTCGCCATCGTCGATGCTCTCGGAGAGGTCCCCCGCACTAGCTGCCGGAAGGCTAGGAGCTCGACGGCGACTGCAGGCGAGTGGCGAAGGGCACGGCCGGCGGTAGGGCCAGAGCGGCTGAGCTGGCGCTGGTGGTGGGGCGGCTGCGAGAGGTAGAAGTCTGGATGGTGGGGGCCGCGGGTGGTGGGAGAACCGGGTAGTGGCGCGGTGGGGCAGCTGGTAGATGCCGGGGCCCTGTTGCGGCGCGCGCGTATTCAGGTGGTACCCAGATGCGCGCCGAGGACTACTAGCTGAGGGGCTGCTGGCGTGCGGAGGTTGTGGGGGCTGGAGTGGCCTGCGTGGTGGAAAGCCTGTATTTCTATTTTAGGAAAAAAAAAGAAAAAGAAAAAATTAATGTTAAGTTAAATATTCACCAACTTAGAGAGATATTTGATAAATAGTTATCATAGTATTAATTGAATTAATGTCAAAGTGAACTGTCCTATTTCTTTTTTCTGTTTAATCTCTTCGATACTTTAATGAGCTGCTGATCAGTAATAAGACATAAATTTGAAAAATATATGACATTCATCATGGAACCCAGTAGACTGTCATTAATTATACTTTCACAACTTATGAAGATGGAGGGTGGGTGTGTGTGTGTATGAAAATTAATTAATGGGTTACTAATTAAAATAGATACAAAAAAATTAAGTTATATTAAACTCTTTTTTTAACTAGTTATTTATATAAAGTAATTAGCAGAGAGATATGGAGGTATACCTGAAGATGGCTTTTAACCTCATCATTGGTGAGCCCATCAACTTTCATCAGCTCCCTAATCTGCTTTGGTGTAGCAACTGTTTTCAATTCAGAGACAAAAATAACTGGTAAGTTACTCATTCATAAAAATGAACAAAAACTCAAAAAGTGAGAAAAAAACGCATGCATAAAGAAACAAAATCAAAACATATATAATAAACATTTAAGTGGAAGAAAATGTTCTCACATTCAATCATAATATCAAACATATATATGAATGTTAACGTGGGGGAAAAAAACTATGTATGTATACCAATTAATCAAAATTAAGAACAATAATCAACCCATATCACCTTGAGAGCCCCCCAACATCTGAAGAGCATTGACAAATCGCCGGTGCAAGTCCGGCGACCAGCACCGCCTCGCCTTCCTGTTCCCGCTTCCAGCGGCCGCTGTCGCGGGGGACACTGTCAGTAACTTCTCCTACCACCTCCACCTCCTTCTTTAGCGATGCAAGCAGCCAAATCGGGGGAAACCCGTTGAAGCCGATTCCAACCCCTTTGTTGCTGTTATTATTATTACCATTAGCCTTCTCCTTGGAAAAAGGGAGGAAAGCTCCGCCGTTGCGGTTCTTGTTGGTGTCGATGGGCTTCGGTGATGGGTCAGATGGTGGGCTCCAGAGTTGCGCCGAGAGCATCCAATTGGGCTTTTCAGAGGCTGTAGTTGCCGGCTTATCGGGCCCAGTGCTGGTGATGGGGATGAACTCTTCAAGGACTGGTGGTTTTTGGCCGTAGTTGTTGTTGTAGGAAGAATTTGAAGAAAGATGCATTGGATAGATGTAGAATTCAAAGATATATATAGCAGTTTTAAGAAAAAAAATGGAGAGAAAAAAGTTAGTCCTTGGATAACATAAAAGATTAATTAATCGTTTAATACTAACCTAGGTTTCTGCTTGTAGAGACTATGTCTCAAGAAGTTTAAAGAACCAAATTCCACTTCAAAATTAACCAACAATTTTATTAGTGACCACGGATGAAGCGATGTTCTGTTGAACTTTCAAGATGTTTTGATGAACTTTTAACATGAATTAGTATAGATGAAGATGGTCCTTGTAGTTTATCAATCATCTATTTATTTTTAATTTGTTATATATCATTTGTTAATTAAGAAATGAAGTTTTTTCAGAAATTACTGTACTAATTCATGTAACATTTGAAGTTTAAATATAACATAATTATGACTGGTGCAACTATGAATTCGACATATATGTTGTATTTAAGATTTTTTTTTTCCTCGACGAAAAATTATACTAGTTTGTAGAGATTGTACATGAAAATTTTCTCATAAATACCAATAATTATATATGAAGAAAACTTGTGGGTTTTTTAACATAAAAGAATGTTTGAGAGAGGAGTGTGTACAAATACAAGAAAACTAAAAATAAGTGCAACTATGAATTCTGCATATATACTATATCTAAAAGTTTGTTTCTATCAAAAGCTGTACCAAATTGTGGAGATTATACAAGTAATTTTTCTTAGGATAAAAAAGAGAAATTAATTGTGGGCTTCTGCATATGAAATATATATATATATGAGAGTGGAGTATCCCTATACCATTGTTGAGCAGTTGCATGCATAAGGGAAGTTCACGCTTAAAAGCTTCAATCTTGAGCCTCTCTTCCTCAAGGCGAGCGAGAAAGTCTTCGAGCTTTTGCGTTGGTTGATCATTCTGATCTCCTAATGGCTTTTGCATCATAGGATAGTTGTTAGGGTTAGGCTTGTAGTCTAGGGTTAGCTCTGATGGAGAAGCCATAGTACTCTAAAAATTAGTTCTATCCTTCAATAAGCTCACTGTAGCTCATTCACATATGAGAGAGAGAGAGAGAGAGAGAGAGAGAGAGAGAGAGAGAGAAAGAGAGCTAGAGAGAGTAAGTGAGTGTGTTCGTTAAGAATGAAGTTGTGAACACAAGGAGGGATCAAGGGAGGGATCACATCCTTTTAGTGTGAGCTTGAGGGGAGGGGAATAAAGGGAGAAGGGAAAAAGATAAAGGGATAAAGCAAAGTTAGGGCATGGTAACTTCTTGCAAAGAACAAAGGCAAATAAAAAGCTTTGCAGGGTCTCATGAACACAAGGGAATCAACAGGACTTAGCCACAAGGCTGATGTTATGCTTAAGAACCTCGTTTCCTTTTGTACCTTTGGATGTACTCCCACACCTAATTCAATTTCACCACATCCAAAAAATATCTTCCTCTTGTGTTGATATTTTTATTCCACACCTAGAGAATGTAATTTTGGAGAAATTAATGATAAATGCATTTAGTTATTCCTGATTAATCCTAGCCTTATGAGAATTGCAATAGATATATTCTAGTGTTGACAAAGTTGTTAGAATAAGATATTTGTGAGGGCCTCCTAGTGACCATGATTCCCCCATGATTAATCAATGAAGCAAATTAAAAAGCTTAAAAAGCATATACTACATATAATTCAAACAAGATATGCTAAGATTCTCTCACACAGCCCCATTTGAAAAAAAGAAAAGGGACTAATGAAACCTTTCCTTGTTTTCAAAAGGTGCACCTCAAACATACATAAGTCCCTTAATCAGCTTTCACAAGGGCTAAAGCACAAGAGAGGGGATATCTAGTGCATTCCCAAAGAATATTTTTTGTAATTTAGGACCTCTAAGTAAGGAATATCTTATTGCCTTTAAAGGTCCAAAACCAACTCAAACCTCATCTTAAGACCAAAAGCAAAGAAAAGATTAAAGGAGGAGTTGGGAATCTCCCTTCTTGCTACTACTAACAACTTTAATAAGGAAGTTGGGCTGGAAGGTAACCAGATTCCTCTAATAAATATTAGGGAAAGTTGCGCTATGAGTCTAAAGTTTGAAAGTGTAATTTTCTTTAAACCCATTTCCTTCCAAAAACTATTTAAAAATAGTCATAATCAAAAAGTAATTTTTCATAAATAAGATGATCACAATATTGTAGGTCAATGGCAATATATAGGATTAGGAGGAATTTCCTCTAATTATAACATCACTTTTTTCTCATATCAAGTGTANTCAATTTTTAATACCCTATTCATGTATCAAGTAGTTACAATGTTATATATAGAGGTTTTCAGTAACAAAATAACTGTGAACATTTTGTTGCATAAGTACTGATCATAATTAATAAATATTGATTGGATCATGACATGATTGAAATGATAGGATGTAGTCCATACAAGATCTCTTATTTGAGTACTAACAAACTCTAATTTGGTACTAATATTTATTTGAGATGTTACAAGTAAATACATGAATGAGAAGTATATGATGCAAAACAATGTGAAAATCAGCTCAAATGCTTATTTCAGCTCAAACACAAGTATGGAAGATCTTGATCATCGGCGATGAGAAGTGATCATTGATGGTCAACATGCGTCATCGATGATTTTGACTCTAGAGACATTCATATTATCGATGAGCTTCTCAACCATTGATCCTCTCAACACCATAAGTGGTTGAGAGGCACCATTAATGGTAAAGTCGGCTGATTACATATTTTTATTTTTAATCACAATCGTTCATCATTTGTAACATCTTCGATCTCTATCAAGTTTAGATATTTCTTTCCTAACATATTGGAGAGTTTATATCATTGAGAGAGAGAGAGAGTAATCAAAATCGTTCATCATTTGTAACATCTTCGATCTCTATCAAATTTAGATATTTCTTTCCTAACATATTGGAGAGTTTATATCATTGAGAGAGAGAGAAAGAGAGAGAGAGAGAGAGAGAGAGAGAGAGAGAGAGAGAGAGAGAGAGAGAGAAAGAGAGTTCTAGGGTTTACTTTGTGAGAGGTCAAGTTAAAGATTTTGACCCTCAAAGCCTCATCAAGCTCTTATCAGTGGGCGCACAACATCTTTGGATTGTTGCAGCAAAGAGAGTTGCCCTTGGATTGACCTTCTTCCTCATTCTTCATTGAGTTTCACTAATATCTTTGAGGGATAGCTTGTTTTATCAAAAAGGGTTGTAGATTTTTCTTTTATTCTGGACTTAGTTGTGTATGTTTGCTTTTTCTTTGAACTTCTTTGATGGCATATTAAAGCCAATTGAACTAAGGACTGGGACTAGCTAGGGTCAGAATCATGGGAGTTAGGTTAAATGATTGATTTTGATTAGATTCCATAGCGCGGTCTCACAAGCTTACTTAATGAGGTTTGTGATTCAGGAGAACTTTTGAGATAGTAAGCAATGTTCTTCATGAGAAAGAAGGGTGGACATAAGATTGTTTATCCGAACCACTATAAAATCTCATGTGTTGTTAGTTGGTTGATTACGGAGTTTGTTATCTTGTTTATCGCTTTTATTTGTTATTTTTCATTGCATATTTTGTGTTTTGGCGAAAAACTGTAGCAATCCTTCCAACTCCTCCCTAGATTTGCCTCTCAGATCCAACATTATATACGTATATACTATATACTAGTTATATATATTATACTATATATGATATATATACCTATATAGTATATATATATGTGCTGCTGGTGTGTGTGGTGTGTGTGTGTGTGTGTGTGTGTGTGTTTTTGGGGTGGGGGTGTGTGTGTGTGTGTGTTGTGTGTGTGTGTGTCGTGTCGACATATGTACATATATATGTATATATAGATGTATATATATAGTGTTTTAAAAAATATTTGGTGTGTGTGTGTGTCAATATATATATATATATATATATATATATATGTTTATAATTATAATACATATAATATATCCTACCTACTATAATGTAGTTAGGTATAATATTATGATTATATTATGTATATTATATATATACGTATACCTATACCATAGATATATATACATACTAGTACGTTATATATATACACATATACAAATATACATACACATATATACATATATATATATATGTGTGTGTGTGTGTGTGTGTGTGTGTGTGTATGTATAGAGAAATATGGGTATGCTTGGTACCAAGCACAAAAAGTTGTGCTTGGTAGTGAGTTGTCACATCTCCCTCTACTCATTCAAATGTAGGACCACATTCACATTATTAATGAGTGGATGGGGATGTGACACATCACTACCAAGCATAAAATTTGAGCTTGGTACCAAACATACCCATATTTCTCATATGTAGAGAAATATGGGTATGCTTGGTACCAAGCACAAAAAGTTATGCTTGGTAGTGAGGTGTCACATCTTCCTCCACTCATTCAAATGTAGCTCACATTCACATGAGTAATGAGTGGATGGGGATGTGACACATTACTACCAAGTATAAAATTTGTGCTTGGTACCAAGCATACCCATATTTCTCATATGTAGAGAAATATGGGTATGTTTGGTACCAAGCACAAAAAGTTATGATTGGTAGTGAGGTGCCACATCTCCCTCTACTCATTCAAATGTGGGACCACATTCAAATGAGTAATGAGTGGATGGGGATATGACACATCACTACCAAGCATAAAATTTGTGCTTGGTATCAAGCATACCCATGTTTCTAATATGTAGAGAAATATGCTTCCTATACTCTACTCATTCAAATGTGGGACCACATTCAAATGAGTAATGAGTGGATGGGGATATGACACATCACTAACAAGCATAAAATTTGTGCTTGGTATCAAGCATACCCATGTTTCTAATATGTAGAGAAATATGCTTCCTATA